CGATGGGCTGAATTGCACAAAACGCATGATCGCACCGGCTAGTTTGGTGCGCGTTGCCATTTATTTGCTTTTCATCGAATCAAAGCCGAGAATAAGCTTTAAAACTGAGCAGTTCATATTGCGAACAACCGGGATTCTATGTTTTATTTTGCTTTTTAATTTTAAATTTAAGTGGGACATTTTTTTTTCTAAATCTTCTATTGTAAATTACTGCGGAGAAATCTGAAGAGCACAGCAGTCCGGGTTTCTCCACATTGCTTTGTACGATTTTATAAAATTTTAAAAGAAAATTGGTATTAACTGCTCTGCGTTAACTTTTTCAACGAAAAAATTTTGATTGAAAGTTTGAAATGGATCAACTTTTTGTCATAAAAATTGGCTGGCATTATATCCCATTTCAGGCTATAGTTGGCTTTTTCGTATATTTCAAGCTCAGTGCTGTACTGCTGAATGTGCAGGATCCGGTTGCGCCATTTGAGAACTTATTTTGCGCTGTATTTATGGGCGGTATTTGGGATGCAATGTCCAGGTTTGCTTTGCTGGCTTCTGTTTTTTTTTTCCCTCCGAAATGAGGTCAGTAAAGGACTTAGTTAGTTCCATCGAAGATTTCCATGAAAAGGTACTGGTGAATTCCACATTTTTGCATTTTCAATAAACAAATTTTTGTAAATTACAGGGCAATCACGGCAAGTCGAGAGCGAAGAGCAGTTGGCCAAAAGGCAGAAAATGGGGCGATACCAGCGGAAGGGAAGAAAGAGCAATGAGTTTCATGACAGTTACTTTAATCAGCATACAATCTTTTGCGGCAGCCTTCTCACGATTGCTACGGATAAAGCTACATCGCCGGGTGATGAGCCAGCTTGTGGTCTTTGTTCGCATTTCTTGGTTTTATTCGTTTTTGCATATATGCAAATTGCAAAAACTTATTTTAGCAAAAGGCTGTCAATGTATGTGTCTGTGTGTTCGCACTTTTTGTCACCCACTTTCAACTCACGAACCAGAAAAGCTAGAAAGCTGAAATTTTGGGGCAATATTCCCTGTCCAAGTACAACTTAGATATTTCAAACCCAGCTTGCAGATATGCTTGGTTCTCACGTACGAGCACTTAAAAGTTTTGATAGGGAAATAGCTTACTGAACAGCTAGATCATTTTCAAAGAAAGACCGCTAGACGGAAATTGTTCATTTCCTTTATGCAAAATTTATGATGATTTATGTTAGTGGACGCAAAAGGTAGGGGTAAAGCAGCAATTATTCATGCAGTTAGCGATTTGAGTACTTCAAATCTGGTGCAAAAGCGCAAAATCCCACCACCAAAGCTGGTGCATTCCAACCTGGGTTTCATTTCATGGGGAATAAAGGTATACTCCTTGCGTTGCTTCTATGATCGTCCAGCTTCAACAGCTTTCCGATATTTTTACAATACGGCTATCTCTCGAAGAAGATTTGTTAGGAGACAATCATGTAGGAAGTTGTAAGGGCGCTGAACTACTGCTGCTGCTGTTACTGCTTTTTGTCTGGAATCACACCAGAAAGGATTAATTCCAAATGCTATCGATTCAAGTGAGAAAGCTTCTGAAACTGCCTCGAATTAATAAATTTTAGATCAAATTCAAACTTCCGCGTTTCATTTTTTTGTGAAATGTGAAAATTTGTAGAAGTAACTTGAACGATACCACTTGTGTGGTCACTAACCATCCATGAGGCATCATAACTATGAATTTTCTGTTTTGTTAGGTGATATTTGCTTTACTGATCGATTCTTTTTAATGTTTTTATTTTATACCTTGTTCTTTTTTTAAAATTCTTTTGTGTCTTCTAAGCAACATTGTAAAAGTTTGTCGAAATTCACGTGGATATCTGCTAGTGCCAGTGCTATTCGATAACCAGTGATACTTGTATTCTGTCATAATATTTCGTGCATTTTCCACACGTGTATATTGTTTTTTTTTTTTTGACAAAAAACTAAAAAATAATATTTGTATGAGCTTGCAGCTTGTTATAATTACGTTCTTTGTTAAAATCAAATTTCAGAAAAAATCTCTTCCAAGCTTTTTCTTTGTAAATGCATTATTCTTGCTTTTTTCTTGCTATGCTTTACCCAAATTTTTTACCCTCGGTTTTCTGATTTTTGTCTGTTTTGATGAAAGCTTTGAGCCAGTGCTGATAGCTGTGATACTCAATCAGAGATAAACAATTGGCACACTGTCTTTGATCTTTTTTCTGAAAAAATTACAGTTATGTGTTAATTGCCCACCGTTTGGTTGCTTTTGGCAGCCGCTTGAACAAATTTCCGTCAGTTATGAAGGAAAATCCCATTGACCGAAGAGTTGCGAAAAGTCTAACTTTTTCCCGAAATACTTATTCCCCTGTAATTTATTTTGCATACTTTCGGTAAATTTCTCGCAGTTCCTGTACTCTGGTATTCAAGTGTCCACTTTTGCACGGATTTCTCACGTGCGTCGCTTTATGCCCTGACGTATTTGATAATTTTGAGAATCTGTGCGGGCTGTGCACATCGCACAGGCTCCATTCCTTCTGAGCAATTTCCCTCCCTCATCATTCGCAATTTCACAATACACTAGGGCTGCCGGTGCAATCATGCATTTTTGCGCTACACTTGCAGGCCGCTAAGAGCAGGAATAGCTCCTACGCTGTATTTTAACAACTGAACTCATGTTGGCTGTGTTTTGACATTTTGCCGTATACAAGGAGAAAGGATGTCGGCTGAGATGAAGGTGTTGCATTATGGGATCGTGTGGGCCTCCAGCATGCATGATCACAGTTTTTTGCATGAAGTCAGATCGTTTTCCGATGAGTGCTTGTTCATTGAAAAAGTGCAAATCTGAAGGAAGTAGGAGGAGGGTTATGAAAACTGCAAAATGCATTTTGATGTTTGCAAAATGTCCCCTGCCCATTTACGTTCTTTCACATGCGCTTACGTTTCATCGTTATGTGGAAAGCAAGCGCATGTGAAAGAACGTAAATGGGCAGGGGACATTTTCCAAAATTTCAGCTACTTAGGTTCCTGGCCTCCGAGTTAGTAACTTTCGCACCGAAATTTCCACATGTCTATACATGAGACCTAGGCAAATGCGAGAGCTAAATTTAGGTTCATGAGATCCCTGCACAGGCAGAAAACATCCCAATATCTTAGCTTCCTAGTTCTTCTGGTTCCGGAAATAAAATTTTTCCCCAGAAATTTCAAGGAACTGTACTTGGGTCTCAGGCGTACATGGAGGAGGAATTTAGATTTGCGAGGTCGCAAGGGAGCAGGGGACATTCCTCTGAAGTCCCAGCTTCCTAGCTTTACTGGTTCTTTGAAAGTGCAAGACAAAACGTGCGCGCACACACACACACGCACACACACTCACTCACATACATACACACACATACACGCATTCACACACACATACATACACTCATTCACACACATACAAATACATAGACTGGTTGGGTTATGATCTTATGACAATGTGTGTTTTGTGCAGCTGTTACACATTACAAAACGCATAAAAATTGGATTGCATCATTAGTAAAGGAGGAATATTAAGAGATACATATGCAAAGATTGTAGAGGCATTGCAATCCAGTGATCACGCTAAGCAGTATTTGTATTTGTGGTGGATCAGCCAAACAGAATAAAATACTTTCTTTTCATAACATCGCTATTAACTCAGCTAGAACTTGTACATAGTTCATGAAGACCCTGGTATTTTTTTGATAACGCTTCTCACAGCACAGTGAAGTAAGATTGAACAGGCAGATTTATCAGAAAGTTAACTAACAAAGAGATGGGATAGGGCGCGCAGCCGTAAGGTTAGAAAGCAAAAAGACACTTTTCGTCCAATCTACACACTACTGTAGTAAACAATCCCGGAATCAGCATTAGTTATTTGCCAGTTTTACGACAGGTTTATGCTTGAAGTCCTTGGAACAGCAGTGATTCGTCGCCTAGTTACTTTAGTTATGTAAATGGTAATCCTCCAGTACCTGTTGGAGATTCTGACATTCGTCGTATCTCTGGTAGAATCATCAGTAAATGGCCAGCGTACTGACTGCCGGTTCAAAAACGCGTTTTTTTGCGCAGTTCCCCGCAAATTTTCATGGCTAACGTTACTGTTTTTTCCGGCAGATGGTTCTAGCTAAGAGAAATGAAACTGGCCTCCAGGACTGTCAAGAAGCATCACCTTAAAATTTCTGCTTTCTAGCTTTCCTGGTTCCCGAGTTATCAACTTATACGCAAAAAATTTTCTCTTACCCGCACATAGAAAGCACACATACCTGGAGGCCGGGTTTGAACTCATTAGGATCTTCGTGGATGGGGAACATCTTAAAATTACAGCCTTTTAACTTATGAATTTTTCGAGTTAGCAGCTTCCCCGCAAAAAATTTTCACGGGAGATCACGTGGATAAGAGGATTGGGGCCCGACAGGTGCATGTAGATTAATTCCCCAAAGTTTCAGCCCTGTAGCTTTTGTAGGTCTCGAGATGAAAAATC